GACCGATCTGGTTAATCCGGTCCTCCTGTCCACGAAGACGGTCCTCCATGACCTCTGTCGGCGCGGGTGCTCCTGCTGACTCCATGATGTGATGTGGTATTCTGTCAGTAGCTGAGTGTAGATGCGGTGAGGAAATCAAGCGCAGGAAACACGGGCGTTCGTCAACAGACTTTAGTTAACAAAATGCAGCACCAAACAGGCGAACAGCCAACCCAACCGGGAGGCAAAATACAAATTACGCACAACACACACAGTGCGTAAAATGAAGATAGCGCACACAGTGCGGACTCTCGGAAAACAACAAACACGAGAGTAATACAAAAGAGCAACAGCTTGACAATAAACAATACCACATAACACCTGCCCCCACACACGAAAACTAAATAGGCAACCAAATCAAACACTAACAAGGGACAGGTGTACAAACAGACAAAACCAAACAAACATGAAACATCGAACGGTGGCAGCTAGTACTCCGGGGACGACGACCGCCGAAGCCTGCCCGAACAAGGAGGAGGAGCAGCCTCGGCCGAAACCGTGACAGACGCAACCATGGTGGAGGAAGGGGCCAAATGTTCACCGGGGTACAGGAAGCTGCCATTGTAAGCTTGGTTTTGGAAAATAATGAAATCAGATTACGAGAAATTCAAAGCCACATCATCCAAGACAACACCATATTCAACAACATTCAACAACATTCAACGAGTCAGTCTGTCCACATTGGCTCGCATTCTCAAGCGAAACCAAATCAGAATGAAACAACTTTATAAGGTGCCGTTTGAGAGAAACTCTCAAAGAAACAAAGAGGTCAGACGAGCATATGTGGATGTAAGTACAATATTGACTGCAGTATACTACACACATTGTTTCCCAGTGTACTGGATAACACCATATTGACTGCTTTTGTTCTTTGTTTTCAGGGAGTACTGGAAATGGATGCTCATGTAATCCCACATGAGTTCATCTTTATAGATGAGGCTGGGTTCAACCTAGCAAATACCAGAAGAAGGGGGAGAAACGTCATTGGCCACAGAGCCATTATAGATGTTCCTGGCCAACGTGGTGGGAACATCACAATGTGTGCTGCCATCTCCAATACGCATGGTGTCCTCCACCGTCATGCCAACCTTGGACCATACAACACAGCCCATATTGTCACATTTCTGGACAGACTCCACAACATTCTCATACCACCAGAGCGTATGAATGATGCAGACCATCAAAGAACCCGGTACGTTGTAGTATGGGACAACGTGAGCTTTCATCGTGCAGCCCCAGTCCAAAACTGGTTTGCTAACCACCCACCATTTCTCGTGCAATACCTCCCACCATACTCACCATTTCTGAACTCCATAGAAGAGTTCTTTTCGGCATGGCGGTGGAAGGTATACGACTGGCAGCCCTTTGTGCGCATGCCTCTTGTGCAGGCTATGGAAGAGGCATGTGATGAGATTGATGTGGGTGCGATTCAGGGATGGATAAGGCACTCAATGTGCTTCTTCCCTTGATGTCTGGCAAGGGAAGATATTGCCTGTGATGTGGACGAGGCGTTGTGGCCAGACCCAGCTGTGTGGCAAGATGCTGCCTAATTATATTTCTTGCCTTTTTTTTATATATATTTTTTTCCTGCAATTTTCTTTTTCAGTTAACTGTTTTTTGTGAGCATATTTTTGTTCAGTCCGATGTAAATATATCTGCTGTGCAGATGTTGCACTGACTTGTTTGGTGAAAAATAAAGAAATAAATGTTTCAACAGCATGTGTGTGTATCTGCAAATATTTCTGTGCATGTGAACAATCTGAAGAATTTTCTACAATTTGAACTATTTTAGCATTATGGCAAAGCATACTTAAGATGAGAGTGCTTTTCATTATGCCCAACAGTGTGTAGTTGGTTAGACAAAAATCTGGTAATATGAATGAAGTGTGTGCCATTTCGTGCAAACGTTTGATTTTGATAATGCTATATGTAGTTTTGGTTGCAGTGCTTCATTTTGCAGGATATATGAGGTATTTTGCAGTTTGGGTGTGTGGTTTTGTGAATTGTGTTAAGTATTTTGATAAAACCAGCCTAGTTTGCAAAATTGTGTTTTAGCAATTGGGAAAAACTGTAAATTGATTTGCATTTTAATGAGGGAAATAAGTATTTGACCCCTCTGCAAAACATGACTTAGTACTTGGTGGCAAAACCCTTATTGGCAATCACAGAGGTCAGACGTTTCTTGTAGTTGGCCACCAGGTTTGCACACATCTCAGGAGGGATTTTGTCCCACTCCTCTTTGCAGATATTCTCCAAGTCATTAAGGTTTCGAGCCTGACGTTTAGCAACTCAAACCTTCAGCTCCCTCCACAGATTTTCTATGGGATTAAGGTCTGGAGACTGGCTAGGCCACTCCAGGACCTTAATGTTCTTCTTCTTGAGCCACTCCTTTGTTGCCTTGGCCATGTGTTTTGGGTCATTGTCATGCTGGAATACCCATCCACGACCCATTTTCAATGCCCTGGCTGAGGGAAGGAGGTTCTCACCCAAGATTTGACGGTACATGGCCTCGTCCATCGTCCCTTTGATGCGGTGATGTTGTCCTGTCCCCTTAGCAGAAAAACACCCCCAAAGCATAATGTTTCCACCTCCATTTTGACGGTGGGGATGGTGTTCTTGGGGTCATAGGCAGCATTCCTCCTCCTCCAAACACGGCGAGTTGAGTTGATGCCAAAGACCTCGATTTTGACCACAACACTTTCACCCAGTTCTCCTCTGAATCATTCAGATGTTCATTGGCAAACTTCAGACAGGCCTGTAGGATTTGCGGGCGCTGCAGGATTTCAGTCCTTCACGGCGTAGTGTGTTACCAATTGTTTTCTTGGTGACTATGGTCCTAGCTGCCTTGAGATCATTGACAAGATCCTCCCGTGTAGTTCTGGGCTGATTCCTCACTGTTCTCATGATCATTGCAACTCCACGAGATGAGATCTTGCATGGAGCCCCAGGCCGAGGGAGATTGACAGTTATTTTGTGTTTCTTCCATTTGCGAATAATCGCACCAACTGTTGTCACCTTCTCACCAAGCTGCTTGGCGATGGTTTTGTAGCCCATCCCAGCCTTGTGTAGGTCTACAATCTTGTCCCTGACATCCTTGGAGAGCTCTTTGGTCTTGGCCATGGTGGAGAGTTTGGAATCTGATTGATTGCTTCTGTGGACAGGTGTCTTTTATACAGGTAACAAACTGAGATAAGGAGCACTCCCTTTAAGAGTGTGCTCCTAATCTCAGCTCGTTACCTGTATAAAAGACACCTGGGAGCCAGAAATCTTTCTGATTGAGAGGGGGTCAAATACTTATTTCCCTCCTTAAAATGCAAATCAATATATAACATTTTTGACATGCGTTTTTCTGGATTATTTTGTTGTTATTCTGTCTCTCACTGTTCAAATAAACCTACCATTAAAATTATAGACTGATAATTTCTTTGTCAGTGGGCAAACGTACAAAATCAGCAGGGGATCAAATACTTTTTTCCCTCACTATATATACTAGGTGGTGTCATAGGAAAGTCAAAAAAATTGTCAAAGAGTCCAGTCACCCAAGTCATAGACTGTTCTCTCTGTTACCGCACGGCAAGCGGTACCGGAGCGCCAAGTCTAGGACCAAAAGGCTCATTAACAGCTTCTACCTCCAAGCCATACAACTGCTGAACAATTCATCAAATGGCCACCCGGACTATTTACATTGACCCCCCTCCATTTGTTTTTACACTGCTGCTACCCGCTGTCTATTATCTATGCATAGTCACTTCACCCCTACCTACATGTACAAATTACCTCGACTAACCTGTATCCCCGCACATTGGCTCGGTACCGGTACCCCCTGTACTCCTGAGTGGCGCAGTGGTCTAAGGCACTGCATCGCAGTGCTAACTGTGCCACTAGAGATCCTGGTTCGAATCCAGTCTCTGTCACAGCCGGCCGCGACCGGGAGACTCATGGTCGGCGCACAATTGGCCCAGCGTCGTCCAGGGTAGGGGAGGGAATGGCCGGCAGGGATGTAGCTCAGTTGATAGAGCATGGCGTTTGCAACGCCAGGGTTGTGGGTTCGATTCCCACGGGGGGCCAGTATAAAAAAATATGTATTCACTAACTGTAAGTCGCTCTGGATAAGAGCGTCTGCTAAATGACTAAAAATAAATAAAATAAAATAAAATAAATAATAATATATAGCCTCGTTATTGTTATCTTATTGTGTTACTTTTTATTATTTTTAACTAGTTTATTTGGTAAATATTTTCTTAACTCTTTCTTGAACTGCATTGTGGGTTAAGGGCTTGTAAGTAAGCATTTCACGGCGCATGTATTTGGCGCATGTGACAAATAAAGTTTGATTTGTATTGATAGACACACACGCACACACTCATACACACACACACACACACATACACACACATACACTAATACACATACACACTCATACAGACAAACATGCATATAAACAAGCAAACATGCATAAGCCCGCGCGTGCACACGTGCACACACACACACACACACACACACACACACACACACACACACACACACACACACACACACACACACACACACACACACACACACACACACACACACACACACACACACTACCCACCCAGGGAGAGTAACTACAGCATAGTAATAGTATACTGTGTAGATGGGGAAGAGTATTAAAGGTATCAGGATGTTTATGGATAATATAATACATAATACAAAGATTGATCACGGGTCATGTCAAGTTTTGTTGGTACAGAGACAAGATAGCAGTGAGTTACCAACTACGGCTAAATCATTGATCCCACTCTGTGAACTCCTCTCCCACGACACACACAGGCTCAGGTGGGTGATTATTGGGTCCCAGCTGCTCCGTGGTGGGGTGGGATCCACCCAGGCCAAACCTGAGCTCCCCACCAGGGACAGGCCCCCATACGACAGGACCTCTCTCTTCCCTCTGAATACTCAGCCAGAGCAGCTGTTTGGACATGAGTCCCATCTCTGTCTTCTTCTCACACTCTCCTCGCTGTCCCTCGTCTCCCCGTGATGCCTCTCAGAGGAGCAGAGATCCATCACACTGCCACAGACTTCAGCTGCACGCCTCCCCGGTGGACAACAGTAACCTTTAGTTTTGCATCATAGAGGGTATCTTAAAATAGGCAATGATATCACAGTTAGGAGACTGAGGAGACCTGTCGTCAGCGTGGATATAAACAAATGTTTGGAGAGTTGCAGATTCCTCAGATGTGTGGTTCCCGGTGTGTGTGTCAATAGATTAAGCGGGTGTTCCTAGGGACTGACTGTGGATCAGCTGTCCAGATGAGAGAGTGGAGCGAGTCGGAGATGACCATGTCTGCCGGTGGTTACCTCTCCACCTTTGATGGATACGGCATCACCGAACCTCTGCAGTACTACGGTGAGCGACTCTTTTGATCTGGACTGTCTGCAATTATACTAAAATAATCTAGTCCGATTTTTGAGGGGTTATAAATTGTCTGCAATACTATGGTATGCTGATCCAAACACAATTTATCCTGATACATACCCTGTAATTGTATGGTGATGACCTAATCAAATCAAAATGTAATGATTAGACATTTATATTCCACATGTTTATGCTTGCTTTGTTTTGCTTTAGTTTGTGTGTTGCTTTTTTGTTCAAATGTTTAGCGCCGTAGATTAGAAAAGGAGACTTGTAGGGATACACAATGTGGGTCTAACATTTAGAAAATAACTGTTTTTATTTGTATTTTTTCCAATACACAGGATGTTAGCTAACACAAAATGTCATTGGAAAGAGGGGCTATTTATAATGGTTGCAGTGGAGAGTTATGACCTAATACGAACTATGAGGTTTCTTTCTTCAAATTGTTGTCCTCTCCTCTCCAAGCTGGACGGATAGATATGACAAGCTGCATGATGGGGGGTAGCGTTCGTGTTCGTGGGAAGGAGGGAGGCCCGGGTGTTTACACAGTGCTGAAACGGTTTACAAACAGAGCTCACCACAGCGTTGTCACACAAGCACAAGCTCAGTATTGGCCTCCATCCTCGCCAGGACAGGAAACATCTGGGAGACACAGAGGAGAGACGGAATGAGTTAGGAAAGTAGAGAGAGAGAGAGAGAGAGAGAGAGAGAGAGAGAGAGAGAGAGAGAGAGAGAGAGAGAGAGAGAGAGAGAGAGAGAGAGAGAGAGAGAGAGAGAGAGAGAGAGAGGAAGCGAGAGAGAGAGAGAGAGAGAGAGAGAGGAGGAAGGCTAGAGAGAGTCTAGGTTCTAGAAGAGGGGTGGGGAAGGTTGTGGTTGAGAATGGGGTGAGTGTTAGGGTTCAGAAATGAGGGGTCATAGGTCAGAGGTTGGATTCTAGAAGTCACTGTGGTATTCAGTCCATGTCAAGGCATCAGAGCTGTGGCTGAAAGAAGATACCTCTCACTATTTCAGTTGTTTTCTGAACTAATAAAACGCCAAGAGACTCAGGTTATGGAAGAGGATCTTTCTGATCAGAGTGACTGATTTAGGGCTGATCTGTGACCAGATCTTCTCCTTATAATGCAGATGTGCTTCAGAAGAGCTGCCAGGGGCGACACCAGTCTACACGGCCACAAAACACTGAATTAAACTCTATAAAAAATATCCAAATCATAAACAACGCTGTAACCTCTCAGCTGCATCCTGTTTCCACAGTCCAAACTGGTTCACAAGGTCTTGCTCTGATGTTTTTTTATTACCCCCCACAGCACCAATAAAAGACACGTAAGATTGTGGACAAGGAACACATTCTTGTGATGCACTTTGACTTAGAAACCAGTTTGACTGTGATAATAAAAATGCATTTATTTAGTCATACAGTGGGGAAAAAAAGTATTTAGTCAGCCACCAATTGTGCAAGTTCTCCCACTTAAAAAGATTAGAGAGGCCTGTAATTTTCATCATAGGTACACGTCAACTATGACAGACAAAATGAGAAAAAAACGACTGATCTGTGTAAAGGAAAGAATGAATGGGGCCATGTATCGTGAGATTTTGAGTGAAAACCTCCTTCCATCAGCAAGGGCATTGAAGATGAAACGTGGCTGGGTCTTTCAGCATGACAATGATCCCAAACACACCGCCCGGGCAACGAAGGAGTGGCTTCGTAAGAAGCATTTCAAGGTCCTGGAGTGGCCTAGCCAGTCTCCAGATCTCAACCCCATAGAAAATCTTTGGAGGGAGTTGAAAGTCCGTGTTGCCCAGTGACAGCCCCAAAACATCCCTGGTCTAGAGGAGATCTGCATGGAGGAATGGGCCAAAATACCAGCAACAGTGTGTGAAAACCTTGTGAAGACTTACAGAAAACGTTTGACCTGTGTCATTGCCAACAAAGGGTATATAACAAAGTATTGAGAAACTTTTTTTTATTGACCAAATACTTATTTTCCACCATAATTTGCAAATAAATTCATTAAAAAACCTACAATGTGATTTTCTGGATTTGTTTTCCTCATTTTGTCTGTCATAGTTGACGTGTACCTATGATGAAAATTACAAGCCTCTCTCATCTTTTTAAGTGGGAGAACTTGCACAATTGGTGGCTGACTAAATACTTTTTTTCCCCACTGTATGTGCCGGTGGACCCTCTAGGCTAGCCACTAGATGTTCCCACATCCACTCCTGTGGTGCACGTAAACTTAACCGGTGTGACCAGGACCAAAACACTTCATTAATTTTGTGTTGTTATCCCATCATACAGATGTGCTGGGGGACCCTTTGGGCTACCCTTTCCAGGAGCCAGACCTACAGGTCCTAGCCTTCAGCCAGCAGCAGTACAGCCCCGTCAACGTGCAATTCTCTGTCTACGAACCACCTTCCTCGCAGCCCTGCCACCCACCCTACACCCACCCTTACAGCCCCCACTACCTGGAGGCTCCCTGCGAGCCCAGCCCGGAGCCCCAGTGTGGAGGCCTGGGGAAAGGGGGAGGCGGGGGAGGTCTGCCCCTGGTCAAGAGGACCAGGCTGGGCCCTGGAGGGAGGGTGAGGGGCCTGGATGAGCTTTGTGTGGTGTGTGGAGACAAAGCCTCTGGCTACCATTACAATGCCCTCACCTGTGAAGGCTGCAAAGGTAGGGGAGGCAGTGTTTTCATCAAAGTTTACAACAATATTTGGGGGGTCAATCTGAAAGTTTTGTCACAGAGCCCGCTACTTCTGATATCTGTCTGAATATGTGGTTAGAATTGAAATTGAAAAATCTTTATCTGGATGAACTTGAATTGAAATGGACCCCAACTAGAGGTGGTTGCTACTCCAACCCATGTCATAATCTCTATCGTTACTGTACTCCTGTGTTTCAGGTTTCTTCCGAAGGAGTGTGACGAAGAAAGCAGTGTACCGGTGTAAAAGTGGCGGAGGCTGTGAGATGGACATGTACATGCGGAGGAAGTGCCAGGACTGCCGCCTGCGGAAATGTCGTGCTGTGGGCATGCTAGACGAATGTGTGTGGAACATACTATATCAAAATGCCTGTAGGGATATTTGAACTATTTTGAACAGAAAGTCATGTGAATACTTTGAAGAGAGGTAAAGTCAGATAGCAATAAGATCAAGAATCGTGACATTTTACATTTATATTTTAGTCATTTAGCAGACGCTCTTATCCAGAGCGACTTACAGTTAGTGAGCAGTTAGTGAGTGCATACATTTTCATACTTTTTTCATACTGACCAGTGATCATATCTCCAATTTAAAGTCAGGCGGACATAAACATATTTAATTGCTAAGACAACTAAAATACATTGGACATGGATCCCTTGCAAAAATGTGTTATATCTCAATACATCTCCCCCAGTTAAATAAAGGATAAATGAATGAAAGATAATTGCCTATGTGAGTCTGACAGAAGCAGTTGTGTTGCCAGGTCTGCTGACGGAGGTGCAGTGCCAATCCAAGAGGCTGAGGAAGGGAGCCAAGCACAGAGGAGGAGGGCCTGAGGAGGAGGAAATCAGGGAGAGCAGGAGCGTCAGCTCCACCAGCAGGTTACCAGGACAGGTACATCCCTTTCTCCTCTCCTCCTCCATTCTAACTTTCTCATCTAGTTTTCTGACCTTAAGTATTTTGATTAACTTTCTTGAATATTATGAATGGGGAAGACATTGTAGCTTGCCGTTTCTGAAAGATACCCCAAGATCATATTATTTGTCCAAAGCAAATATCCAAGGGTCTAAATAGTTACAGACCGTTGGATGATCATCTTGTAGAATGGTTTGCACCACTGGAGTACCCGGATCTCTTCCTCAGACCCCAAGTTAACTTACTTTGATTCATAAGTGGCCCTCTCCCAGATTACTTTCTTGGACTTCCAGTTTAAGTTCTTGAACCATCACATTTTTGGACAATCAGATAATTTTATGCATAGGTCTTTGGAATGCTCCATCAGTAGCCTGTAACACTTGTGACTGATTTCTTATGGGGCCGCCCTGTAATACAAACCCTGCTTATACTCCAAGTCTGTGTCAGAATGATAATTTCACTCAGCAATCAACTGATCTGTTTGTGATGCATTTTCTTCTGTGACAGGTGGTGTCTGCAAATTTGTCAAGAGAACAGAAGCATGTGCTGGACACGATGGTGGAGGCTCTTCGGCAGTACAGGGTGCAGGACGCAGGACACTGTAGGGTGGGTCGCTGATTAGAATAGTAATTCTGTTGTCAATGGATTGAGATTTGAAAGTTGTGTTATCATTTTTCTTCTCATCTCATTGAGAGCTTATTCAGGCAGTTTTTTTCTGCAGGTGTTTGAGGAGACTTGTACAGAGGATGGTGGAGACAGACTAACGGACATGGCCTCCCCTCCCTCTCAGAGGCTGCTGCAGTTTGCCAAGAGTGTACCTGGTGAGTTGGGCCTCATCTCGTACATCAGATTCCTCTCCTTTCTTGTTTCTGCACTGATATGAAAGAACCAGACAGGTCAAATGGAAAGCAAATACCTAGTAAGCATACACCATTTTGCTTTCACCTACCATATGTTTTCAGAACAAAAACACCCCTCTTTCGCTCTCTGTGGCCCCTCTGCTTCTGAACTACCTCCTGCAGTTTTAACCAATCTAGCGTCTGGTGTCCGTGTAGGCTTTGAGCTCCTGAACTGCTCGGACCAGAGCACCCTCCTCACTAGTTCCTCTGTGGAAGTCATGTTTCTGCTCTCAGCGCAGCAGTTCACCCAGAACCCTGCAGCTTCTAGTCCAGGTACTGACACCACTACACCACCATGAGGATTGTGGGTGTCTGAGTCATTTGGCCTGGCTCTATTTCAGCCTACCGAAGAGGTAGGGTATAGGGATGGAAATGGAACCGAGCCGAGCCGATTATGACATAGAGCTAATCGTTTTCTTTCTTCTTTTACAAGCACTACAGCCTTTCAACATCTCAACTCATCATTGGCTGAAAACCTTGGAGTCCAAGGAAAACATTCATAGTGGGACCGGCCCTGTAAACTCAGGTAAGGCACACTGTCCTATCTTATTAGATACAGTATATCCACCACCATTGTATCCCATCTTACGAGCTTTATTTACAATACTATTTGAAGAGAGGTTCAACGGATAAGGTAATTTTTTTGACGTTTTAGCTTATTTTCCACTAGCATTGCTACTGGCTAGCCAGGAGAATCTGAACATTGCTAAATAACCAGCTAAACAACTTAAAAACTGTTTGGATGAAACCAAAAAAAGGTACGTCGAAAATATGCTAAAACTTCTAAATAGTGAACTAAAACCTTTAAAGAAATTAGAATGAAGCATGCAGTGGGGCAATAAAGGAAAAGGGGTGTTTTTACTCTATCCTTCAATTGTGTGTCTTAGCTAGTGTGTCTGTGTGCAGGAGTCAATGAGGACCTGCTAGGACCCGTGATCAACTTCTTCCACAGCATGGCAGCACTGGGGGTGACCGAGGCTGAATATGCCCTGCTCACTGCTACAGCACTGCTATGCTCAGGTGATTGGCTCTCTATGCCTGACATATTACTGTATGAAAAGCAACATGTATTTAGGAATTAATTTTTAATACATATATCACCATACGTTTTTCTTAATAAAGACATACTTTTTATTGACTTATCATTTTCCTCCAAGAGTGTCTGAATATCTCCTCTAGCTTGGCCAGATAGTGACGAGCAACTCATGTATGTCGTTCTGTCATCTACTGTATCTCTGTTAGCAGACGAAGCGTCGCTGCGGGTGGTGGCGTGTGTGGAGAGCTTACAGGAGCTGATCTTGGAGTTGCTGTCCAGAGTGTGCGGAGCCTGGTGTGGAGCCCAGGGCCCTCAGGGAGCCCAGCGCTTCGCTCGCCTGTTGGGGAGACTCACGGAGCTGCGCACGCTACGACACAACCACCTCACCCTGCTCCGACAGCAGCCCTGGGACAGTCAGCCCTGAGACAGACACTGAGCACACAGAGACAGGGATACAAATAGTTAAAATAATATAGATTTAGACTTACTTTTGTATGTTTTATCGAATTTGTACCCCAAAAAAATAATTAACACTATTGGCCATATATGATTATGCAGTTTATCATGAAAAATACCATTATTTTCAGTGACTGGTTTTTACTGTAAAGTTTAAAGTGACAGACCAGTATTAAACCAATATGAGGTTTGTTATATGCAGTACACAGAGGTATTAAAAGTATTTTATCATACCTTGGCAGTCATCCTGTTTGTGTCAACTTGTTTTCAGGATGAAAATGAATCAACCACCATAGTAGGTCTGTTATACCTTGTTCTCTTGGAGTTTAAAGGGATAGTTAACAAAAAATATAAATGTATATTATTTTACACTTACCTGGAATGTTGTCGGTCGACAGTAGTAGCTTGGCAGTTTAGTGTAAAACAGTTTATTGATATCAATTGTGTCTAACATCAGAAAACATGGCAATACACCTTACAGATACCTCAGTCGTCCAACTTCTATTGCAACCATATCACTCCCACACTGTGATAAAGGGAATTCTTTCTCATGGTTGCTGAATTTCTTTTCTTCCGACAGCTTTAATAAGTGCTCCACAAAGCTGGGAGACATCCTATTTTCTACTTTCAAAAAACAAAATCACTCTTAAAACGCTATATGTGGAAATGTAAGTAAAACGTAAAAGAAAATATATATTCAATGGTTTTGTTCTGTTCTGATATCTAACTGTGCCACTGTAAAAGCTGTGACTAGTTATCACTGTTGATGGCAGTAAAGCATAGTTGGGTAGAAACACATAAAACATACAGTCTAATATTGTTTGATAGATTCTAAAGTACATCAAAAAGTCATTTTCATTTTGTGTTATGTGATCTACGCAAACTAAAAGACAAAAATGAAGAGAATACACATGGATTAATAAAATAATCATTTAAATAAATTCCTTTAATCATTACGCACAACTTAATATTTTCAATACTCAGTTCAGTTGTTCCTTTTGTTCATGGAAGTGTCCAAATGAATAACTTCATTCAAGACATATCTACATGAAGAGAAGAACCAAAACTATGAGTAGTACTTTTTGTGACTTTTTTTTAATAGCATATCTACTATTTTCTTAACATTTTGTGTTTTTAAGTTGTTGTATATGTTTATAAATTTATTTGTATAGTTATATTTATTTTTTTATTTTTTAAGACATACACAACACATGTAAACACAGAAAAGGAAAAAAGGGGACATGACCAGAAGGAGTATATAAAAACAGAAAAACAAGGAGACAAATACAGCAGTTAAGCGAACAAACAATACATACAGACATACATACATACATGGAAAGATAAAGCTAATTAATGAAGCATCATTAACTGGAATATAATAATTGTAGTAGTAATTGTAGTAATTGCAGTAGTAATAACAATAGTAATAATCTGAACAATTATATTGTTAAAAAGCAGAATGAATTAACCCCATTTCACTTTTCATTGAGTCTTTCATATTTTCAATCAAAAGGGCAAGAATCAATTCCAGTTCATTCTTGTCTCTACTACACCAATCACTCCTCTATTGCGTGCCTAGATATACATTTCAAAAGTGTCAATCAGAGTCTGGTGGGGTTAGCATCGTTGGATTGTGGAGCTTTTTGAGAGGATATGTGAGTGTTTTGAAGCAGAGAGTGCAGGCTAAAAGCAGTGGCTGTGGGGGAAAGGTTGGGCAAGGAAACAATCCATAAAACCATTGGTCTATACAATGTCATTTCCAGGTAATACTTTCTCTTTCCATGTCCAGTTTTCCTCTTCATTCCCTCTTTGTTGGGTTACATCCATGTCCATCAAAGTCATTGGTGTTTCCTCTCCCTACTTGTCAACCATGTGCCCAGATCATAGTTATAAACAGGTCTCCAAGCTGTGCAATGGGCTGGCGGGGCGGCAGAGAGAAGCAGCTGGTAGTCTTGCATCTTTTGGGTTCAGATTATCTCCATTCTCAGCATCAGCAGCAGCAGTGGCGTTGTTGTTGCAGTTGAGTGTAACGGGGAGGCTCTGCTGGCGGTAGGGGGCTGGGCGGGAGGCGGAGCGGCAGCGAAGGGGAGGCTGAGGGGGCTGGGCAGGGGGAGGAGCTTGATGAAAAGCCAGGCGAACATTGTTGCAGTCTGAGCGCTCTGATTCTTCGGTTTCAATGTCTGTCTCGTCAATCAAGGGGATGTTGTGGACCAAGTCACTGATGAGAAATTCTGGGTGTGCCATGAAGTCGTGGATGGAGTTCTTGGATTCCGGCTTCTCAATGCCATCATAAAGTGGGTTATGGAATGCTTTCACCACTCGGATCTATGTTGAATTTTGTATATAATGGTCAAACAAGGGGAAAAATGCAGAAAGGAAAAGGGAATAGATGGGACAAACAAGTGGAGAGAGATTTAGATTTAAGCATTTAAAAGCGTCACAGTGGCAGAATTCTTTGGCTGAACTGACCTGAAAAAGTTATGAAAATACAACTTTTGAGTCTTCTGAAAATTCCACTAAATGTTAGTTAAATTCTAAATTAAAGGTTTTATTGTACAGTAGTAGGTTTGCCTGGGCGTGGGGAGGCGTACCTCTTTCTGTCCAATAAGGTAATTCCTAGATATTATTTTTGTCCATTTAGGGGACCCCTTTTGCTCAAGAACTTGCCCAGAGGCAAAAGTTCTGTATAGCCTCTTTAAAGGCAATCAATTACCTATGAGTTTGAAATGCCTCACTGACCTGATAAAACCTACTGTATGTGTACAATATGTACATGTCCACTTGGGATTACTCTGTAACTTTAAAGAACATTAGGGAAAGTAAAACAAATGAAAACTGAAATAATGACTTAAATAAAAGTTACTGTTGTCAGTTCAATATAAGATATTTAAAATGAATCAAATATTCATTGATGGATATACAACATTGTCTGACACGCACACACACACACACACACACACACACACACACACACACACACACACACACACACACACACACACACACACAGAAACATTTTTGTACTGAACTCTGAACTTACATACGGGACAAGTGAAACAAGTGAGAGCATGGGATTCAGATCAGTTTGCAAACCAAACAACAACTGACATGCCAAGACTGATCATGTGACAGCCTCATTTACAGCCATGCTGTAAAAGAAAAACATTCAAGGTGGTCGTGCATGAGCTTGTCTTGATGCAAACGAAAATGGGTACAGCTGGATGACATATCATTTGGGTGTTGCAACGTCCAATGAGCCATAATGCAGCTACCAGTAAAGCTAAGGGAAAATCACCCACAATACAGACCAGTCACAATAATCACAGGCTTCTGTTGACTTGATGAGTAATGTTGTTATATCACAGTAAAAGTTGTTCAAATTTACTCTGTAAATTCGGGGGCGGCTGTAAAAAAGGCAGGGCCTGTGAATGTGAATAATTTGTTCAACTTCAAAAAATAATTATTGTAAGTGAATTGTATATTTCTATTGAACATCTTGAACGTGTACTTTGTAAGTTGTCTAGGGTATATCTAAACTCAGATGTTTTACAGTACAAACAAATGTAAGGACATAAATACATTCATCCAGATCAGTACAAAAATGGCAATATAGTAGACAATGGTTGTATTTCATAAGGCACAATAGTCACCACACTGGAATTGCCAGAGTTGTACATCAAATCATTACCTTCAATGTCAGAACAATTGTTTTAAAAATTGTTCCTCAAAATCACATTATAAGCATGTGAAAATCTACATTTGAAACATTTATGATACATCACCAGTAGTTCTGTGTCCAGCCACAACATACCCATTTCCTTGTACAAAAATAATAATTAGTGATGGGTTATTCATCCACTCAAAGTCAGCACCCATTCACACAGAACTCAACACAAGTCTTAATAGGTAGGCATTATGGTGAATCTTGCTTTAATATTGTTAATGAGGAAAACAATACATTAATAAATAGGGTGTTTCTGTAATTACTATGGCTGGTCCTAGATGGTAAAGAGATGCACATATTGTGAAGTTTAATAAAATAAGAATAATACATTCATTCCCACAGAGCAAATAAGTGTGTGAACATGAATGCAATTATATTCCGTTGCGATGGGCACTACAGGCTGAATCCTAACTTGAGATACATGCAAGTAACTAAAAACTTTGTTTAAATCACGCGCTGATGTAAAAAGGGAGATTATGCTTAGGTCCTTATTCCTGTTTGCTCTGTGGACTGTACCTCAGCATGCACAAACAATATGATTTGTTTGTTCATTCCTGCAGCAAGCATAGCCACAAAGACCCATTTCTTCAGCAAGCACATCCAAAAAGACCAACCTTTGTAGCAAGCATTCTAAATGTGAAAATTACCACAAAGATCTTGCACAAGAAGCGACATGACCCAATAACCATGTTGTGATGAGGGAGTCAGGCAACACAGAGACACTGTTAAGGTTGACTTGTGCTGATTTGTTTTTCCAAGGAGCTGTTTGTTCCCATAAAGTAAATTATTTAGAAAATAAATAATTATTATGTGCCCTCTGAATTCATGTCCCCTTGTGAAAATTGTAAACTTTCGAGTATAGTGCCCACAATGGTCAATATAACACCACAGCTGTTGAAAATGAACTATTACTCAAGTCAATGTATTCACTTGGTTTCTTTCAAATGGGCCACCTAACTTTCTCTCAAGGAGCTGGATGGAAAAACAGAAGAAAATGAGAAGGCCTGTTTTATTGGGGTAGAGGTTGAATCCCATGGTCGCTCCAGGCTTATTGAATTACACTAGACAAAGGAAGAGAGGATGCTGGAGGGGAGGACACAGGTGTTTATGATAATAATGCAAACAAATTATAAAAGTCAGGGTTAGGCTCAATTCATTTCCTCTCAGTCAATTCAGGGAATTAAATGGAAATTCTATTCATGAATTGGTCAAACTATTCTCAGTGAAGATAATGGACCATCCATCAATGTACAAAGTATGATGATTGAACTCCATTCCTGAATTGAATTCAGTTGAAATGGAGTTGACCCCAACCCTGACACAACATTTCAGACTTTCTTCATGAATCCTTTTTTCTAAACAAAGACATTCTGCTAGAGATCAGTTCGTTTTGAGTGTGATTCATAGTCTTCACAAAGCCGTGAGAAATATAAAAACATAAAAAACTGAAACATATGACAGGGAAAACAGACATTGTTGAATAAACATATAGGACAGACTCCTAATTTGAGAAGTGCGTTTGGAGAGTTGCACACGCATGGACATGATCACTGAACTGACAACCACAAAGTCAGGAAAGGAAAGGACATTAAGGGGAAACAATGTGAAGTACATATAAAAGCTGAACAGCAAAATAATTAAGTAAAAGACATTGCTTGGAACAATGCAAATTTAGAATTAGAAGTTAGAGTTCCTACATTCAGATGTCTACTAATCGTCCTAATATACCAAACAATCTGTGGCTGTTTATAAAATAAATTAATAAACCAAAAAGTCCTCAAAGGAAATGATAATAGGCAAAGTGCACAACACTTGAGGGACTGTTTTTGAATATGGGTTGGATGAATGCCTGGGTATTGCATTATACCAATTGCTGCAATGCAACCTCCAAAGGAAATGGAGACATTTGACATAACTGCAGGCAACAGAGATATGGCATGTCTTGCCCTTCAATTACGGTGTATTTTGCCATGTGTAAGTTGTCAGTCAAACTGAACAGAAGTTAGCTGTCAGTCAAACTGCGCAAAAGTGAAACCAAAACCTAAGTTAAGGCATTCATCCCGACTGGTTAAAAGGTTAGGGTTAAGGTTTGGGATAGGGTTAAAACAGAAAAACGATAATTATAAAACGAGTGCCTAGCACTAAGATTGAACCCGCAATGCTTGGAGCTGTAGCACGCAGTTTAAGCCCACCATTGACTGATCTCAATGGAATAAGATAATCTGTATGTTTTATAAGAAAAGAAAACAACAACAAAAATGAACCATAATAATCAGTTAGAGTACGTTAGTACTACGTTAGGAAAAATAAAGGAAATACAACTATCTTCCTTCATGAGATGCAGAACCTACAATGAGAGAGAATGAAAGAGATCAAGTAAAATGAGGGTAGTTATTTGTACAAAGCAACACTGCAGATCCTATTTTGGCAGTCTGATCGAACCTAGGGACAGAGAAAGATTTGTATTGGTAGGGTGACCAAACAGTAACATCTCAGAAATGTCACTGTTGCAGGCTAACACTCGAAGGTTTACAACTGTTCAGAAGTGCACACACCCAAAATACATGTTATTTTGTTTCTTATCTTTTGTGTCTTTTTTAACCTTGATTTGCCATTTAAGAAATTGTTTAAATTGGCATGGCTGCTTCATTGTAATGCTCTGAATACAATTCTGATCTCATTGAAAATTAAACGTATGTATTGTCACAAATCTGATAAAACCATAGGAGCATACAGACAGTCTTCTCTGGGCAGTTTGAAACACGATTGATCACAGACTGCATCAAGCCAAACAAAGCAGCAAGATAAAGAAATAGATTAAGGCCAGGATTAAATCAGATCAGCAGCAACCCACATCAGCCAACAGGTATAACTACGCTATGAGCTGTCAAATTGGTGAGCTGCTGCTCTTGTGGACATTGACAAAAAAACACTACCATCCTTCCCTACAATGTTAGTAGTTCAAAACATCGGTATGAAGTGTAGACTCTACTCGAATGTAAAATCGTTCAACGAAAAACAGTTTACAAAAGGCACCTGGCTACGTTCTCCTTATTTGTGCAGTCAAAAAGTATAAATGAGGAAACATTTTCAGAACTATGAAATTGTCATACATAAAGAATATTGGCTATAATAAAACAAAATATTATATAATCAATAAAAAAAAGAATACATAAATAATAATAAATACATATATTATTTATGGGTTCATTGAATACAGCTGGCCAGCTAATGATCATGCTTGAAGAAGCCAGGTAGCCTATACATAATTACGAAGACAAACGAGTATGCAGCCTGACATCGCGGCACTCGAACAAGAGCTATGTGGTTGTCGGCTAGCGCAGATCTGATTGAATCCTGGCCTAAGATCATGAGGTAGTAGTGAAAAGGAGGTAGAGAAATATAATATTAAATTAACAAATAATACAACCACAAATATACACATAAACACACAGTCACTAAACTAATTTAAAAGATGATGGAGATAGAGATGGTAGATAAACCAGAAAAAAGGAGGAAAACTCAAATGAAAAGGTCAGTGGGTCAGGCGCCTCAGTGTTGACTCCCCCACCACACAACACACACACAGACAAACACACATATCTTTGATGCTTAATTGCATTTCTGGGCAGGCAAAGGTCCATTTTCTACATACAAGATGCTCATTTTGATGATGGTGAGTGGACTGTTTTTTGTTGTGTGCCGTTAATGGATGGCAGAAACTCACTCCCAGGCGCACCAGTTGCATTGGCAGTGGAGAGAACTACGTGAGTGGGAGTAGAAATATTGGTTACGTCATGGAGTTGGCTGAGAACTGAGGAGCGACGTCGCGCAGCACCCTGAAAGGAACCACTTCTCTTGAAGGTACTCACTACCTCCATCTGTTGGAGAGAAAGAGAGGATATTACAGAGAGGACATGACAATCTTGCAGTACCTCATGTCAGGTGGTAGGGGGCCCTGTGGGGCATATTGGAGGGCTATGAAACCAGCAGGCAGAATGAATCACGTTTAACGGGATGGTATAGTAGAACTTGTAGTTTTGTAGAGGTCATGTTCCAATATGAAGGTATCAAAAGCATGTATTAGATACAAAAAGGCATTTAAAAAGAAATGACGTTACCCTCAAAACATGGACTGGTAATGTTAATTATTGTATTTAGCACTACGTCCGCATCATATGTCTCATAAAGATGCTGGTTTGAGTACGAGACAGACTACAATTGGAACTCTTGTAATATATTTAATATACTTGTTGTTAGGATTATTAGGTATGATCATTGAAGACTTTTCTGTGTCACAGTGACGAGGATTAAGGATACATAAAAAATAAAGACAGAATCTGTGATAATAGCAATGACATGAGGAAGAAGGATAAAAAGTATTTTAGTGAGAAATATGACCATGAGATGGAATCAAAATTACTCTGATAGGTTAAAATAGAGAGAATTATATTTCAATAAATATAGGAAAACAAAGTGTGGTGAAATAAATTAAGGCATCAAATGGTGAAGAGAGACACAAATTAACAGAGATAAGTCGGGCAAGTAGAAAAGACTCCTCTTCGTAGGACAGTACAGTACATACCAGAGCCCTTGTTAGGGAAAGACAAGGGACAGAGAATGGTGGAGCCCAATGCACTGTACCTGAGTCTGGATGCGATTGAGGCCCCGGAACCAGAGGATCTGCCCTCGACGCAGCTCCCTCTCAGCATGGTCAATCTCTTGCTCATCATCTGCCATGTCATCATCAATCATCTCCTCCTTACCCAGCGCATGACCCGCTTCCTTCAGACAGGGCAGGCGGCTGGTGGGCACCGTGGTGATGAGCTGTTGGGGTTAGGGGTCAGCGTTAGTTGACGAGCAGAAGAACACAACTTCCGTTTCGGTCTGGTTGGTCCTAGCTAGTCCTTGTGTCAAAGCCAACTGAAGACTGGGTTATGGATATGTGGGTTTGTCTATGTCAAAGGCCTTAGTTGTGTCTTGACACAAAACCACTGTAGAACCACAGATTGGTTAACACATTCACACAACATTAACTCCAGCATAAGTACCTGTCCCCACAGTAGCTCTCCTACTCCCACGAGCAGACACCACAGCCACTGCTCCACATTGAGCGGTGTGCAGCTGAAAGGTTTCCCCCCAAACTGCACAATCACAAACTGTACAGAATAAGACACAAGACGAGAGAGATTTGATCACAAAAAGTGGTTGCCATTGGTTAGCCCAAATACATGTATCCTGTGCGACAATAATTAAGTAGTCAATATTATTAGGTATATGTCATGGTTGAATAACATTACTAGGATTGCTATAATGGAAATGGAAAATAACGTATAAGAAGTAAACGCTTGTGGTCCTGTCACCTGCATTAAAAAAGTCCCCAGCACGATACTGCAGAAAATAGGGTTGTGGAATATGCCGTCGAAAACATTCCTTTCACCGTGGATCTTGCGGGCATTGATCTCGTTGAACAGTTGCATGAGCACAAAGGTGTTGAAGATGATCGTGTAATGCTCGGAGGGGGGGGAGTGCAGAGGGGCGTTGCGTCCACTATCAATGTTGAAGATCTTTTCTCCTGAGATGGAGAGGAACACAAAAAGGATAAGCGGACAATAGAAAGAGACACATGTAGTCGAAGATATACTTCCTAGTTAAAGGGATAGTGCAAGATTCTGGAAATTAAGCTGTTTTTCTACTTACCCAGAGTCAGATGATACCATTTACTATGTCTCTGCGTGCAGTTTGAAAGAATTTGATGGTAGTTTCTACTTCCAGTCATTGCACTAACGCTAGTTAGCATTGGCTCGCGAATCTACCTCTAACCTCCTTCATACTGAATGCAGACATAAAAATGGTATCCATGAGTTTATCTGACTGGATAATTAGAAAAACACACTATCCCTTTAATGGCAAGCAAAGGTATACTAAATTATCATGTAAAATGCTATGAGCTAAATAGAGCACCATAGTTTCATGACTGTTTTACTTCAACCTTCTTGTTCCTCACCATTGCCTTTACCTACACCCCCCTCCCCCTTTCCCTTTCCCCACCTCCAGACTCCGTCCTCCACCTCCACCTGCAGCCCCCCTCCACCTCCACCTGCAGCCCCCCTCCACCTCCTCCCCTTGTCTCCATTCTGCCCCCACTTCCAGTCTCTCTCCTCCTCCTCCTCCTCCTCCTCCCTTGTGTGTACCCGCGAACAGCAGGGTGAAGATGATGGTGAGCTGGTAGATGGCATGACCCAGGATGTTCTTCATCATGGTGCGGGAGATGAGGGGGTTGTTGCGGCCGTAAGGTTTCCTCAGGAGCAGGGACTCAGTGGGCGGCTCGGTGGCTAAGGCCAGGGAGGCAAAGGTGTCCATGATCAGGTTCACCCACAACATCTGGACAGCCTTCAGGGGAGAGTCCTGAAGGGAGGAGAGAGAGGGAGGGGGTAGGGAGAGGTAAGGAGAGAGGGAGAAAGAGGTAGCGAGAGGGGGAAGGTAAGGGGCAGAGAGAGGGGGAAGTAAGAAGAGAAGCAGCAAGAGAGAGAGGTAAGGAGAGAAGGAGAGAGAAAAAGAGGTAAGTAGATAGAATTTAGCTTCAAAGCTTGTTTGGAATGTCCATAGACCGTTACCTACATCTTTGACCATTTACTACAGTTACTTAAGTGGTCCATTTGGATTTTACACAACAGTGAATTGTGCTGTGGTGTGGTGTGCTGTGGTGTGCGAGAGTCAGAGATGGAGTGAGTACCTGTGTGATACAGGCGCCGGTGAAGGCCACAATGACAGCCACCACGTTGACAGTGAGCTGGAACTGGAGGAACTTGGAGATGCTGTCATAGACGTTACGTCCCCACATGACCGCCTTCACAATGCTTGAGAAGTTGTCATCAGTCAGGATGATGTCAGAGGCTTCCTTGGCTACGTCAGTACCAGCGATGCCCTACACAGAGCCACAGAGATAATCCACTTTAAATTCACACTGCTTTGAAAAGTATTCACCCCCCTGCTTGCACAGGTCTCACATTAAAAAAACATGTCACTAATACCTATGTATGTGCATGATAGTTACATAGCCGTAAGTACTATGTAAGTACTAATGTAACAATACCACAGTACATACTATGCCTATGTAACTACAATGTAAATAGGTAGGGAAATGTATTGTTAAAGTGATGCTCCAAAGGTTTTGTATAATTTCAGAGAGTAGTTCTGAAAGCCAAAACTGGTCCCTGAAAATTGTGCACAATTGTGTACATTTTACATTACATTTACATCATTTAGCAGAAGCTCTTATCCAGAGCGACTTACAGTTAGTGCATGCATTTTAATTTTTTTTCATACCCCCCGTGGGAAACGAACCCACAACTATGAACTGAGCTACATCCCCTGCCGGCCATTACCTCCCCTACCCTAGACGACGCTGGGCCAATTGTGCGCCGCCCCATGGGTCTCCCGGTCGCGGCCGGCTACGTCAACCATTTCGTATGATATGTTACGATATGTTATTTGTAAGTGCTTATGATCCCGGACTGCAACATTAAGTCTGGGACTTAATATTTTCCCAAAGTTACTAAAATGACAAAAGATTTGTCATCATCATCATGATGTCTCACCATGGCAAAGCCAACATCGGCCTTCTTCAAGGCAGGTCCATCGTTTGTCCCGTCCCCTGTCACAGCCACTACCTGCCGCTGCTCCAGTACGGTGCTGTCTATGATGCCTGCAGGGAGATTAAGGTCTCATTGGAAATGCTGTAGCTGCATGGTTTACAAACTGTTTACAAAAGAGTACTGTAGCTTTGAGTGTAGAATCTCTGACCCACCTTTGACCAGTGTATGTTTGTCTGTAGGTGAGGACCTGGCCAGAACTCTCAGTTTGGGCCAAACCTTATCAATGCGCTCCTGCTCAACCTGTAAGAAAGAAAGATTGGATATACACAGAAAATGTTGAGTCACGTAACACTATGTAACACAAGCTAAGGAACTGAATCAGGGCACTTCTATTTTTTGTCAGTAAAAGAGTGTTAAACAGTTCATGAATGATGAATTCTACCTCTCCTTTCTCATTTCTGATTCGTCGGTTGAATTCCTTCCCGTCTATACACAGGAAGTCATCCCCTGGCTGGATGATGCCACACTTGGCAGCGATGGCGCGCGCTGTGTTGATGTTGTCACCTGTCACCATGCGCACCGTGATCCCTGCTCGCTGGCATTTCTTGATAGCATCTGGGACCTGGTTAGAAAAGACACCTGGGTTTTGATAAAGCCTTGGCACCTCCTCTTACTTGCTAATGTGCATGAAACTACAGCTTTAATCACTGAATATTTACTACAATTATAACAATACCTATAATCTCGGAAACGCAGAACTAAAACCTTTTTTAATTGCATCGGACACTCGATTCTGTTCTGGGGGCAGATGTGTTACTAGAACGAGGAGCGAAAGCAGGGCGGTAGCTCCACCCCCCTCTCTCTGTATGCTTTGGGCAAGTCTATGGTCCAAATGTCCGCTCCCCTTCCCAGTCTGTTGACAGATGCTACGATACCATTTATGTTATGTGTGAGATTACAATGCCTATACCTAACTATACCTTTACCTGCAGTATAACAATACCCGTTGTGTCATCCTACTGTTCCAGCCCTTCCATAGGTGCATGGGTCTCCCCACTCTAATCCTATGTATTAATAAATTCATATCTATCTGACTTATTTAGACATATATCTGCAGAATAACCCACTTGAAATGAAGAGCAAGAAACAGGCAATTGTCATCCCTGTGGAAAAACTCCACTCCAAATCTCTACCTACATCTGTAAACAACTGCACCGCAATAGAGAGTCCCTCTGCGTAAGGTCTTGGTTACCTCTGGGCGGACAGGGTCCTCGATGCCCACCACGGTGATACAGATGAGGTCGCTGACGATGCCCGCCTCGTCCTCCCAGTCGGGCTCAGGGCTGGCCGGCAAGTCCTTGTAGGCCACGCAGATGGTGCGCAGGCCGTCGCAGGCCATGGGCTCGATCACCTTCTTCACCATCTCGTCCCTGTCCCGCGGGCGGAAACCCCGCGGATCTCCACCGCCAGCCATGATAGAGGAGCACCTGACAGACAGAGAGTCAGAACTATGGTTGCAAAGCTACAGGTAATTACCGGAAATGTATACTTGAATAACTTTTTTTTATTTTTTATCTGTGTCCATATTTTTTATATCTGTGTCCATATTGCCCATGAGCTTCTAGTGAATAGACCATATGATAGACCAAATGGTTCAAGAGAAAATAGCCGATTTAATGAAAAAACAAACATCTAATCAACAATAGCATTATTTTAAATTAACTATTCAACACCTCCAACTATTTATTTTTTTCAGAACTACCACCAGTTTGGCACCACAACATTTACAACAAAGACATATTGACATTGTGAAAAATATATATATAAAGAATATTTTATGTTGGCATGGCCCAGGATTAAACACCAATGGTATTCACTAAATTGATGGTTTATACTTAGGATGTTTTACAGCTTTGTCATTCTATTTCTAATTTGATTTAAAATCATATTTTTTGATTATGTTATATATTGTACATATGATAAGGCCACACAGAGGGCAGAGATAATTACAGACACCTGTGATCATCTGAAGTACCCAAAAAGGCCACGAGATGTCCAGTGATAAATTCCTTAAAATCCTTGAAAGTTACCAAAATTGTGTTAGATACTGCTACTTTCCAGTAATATACCCTTCCTTTGCTACCCTAGTCAGGACACAAGTCAGATGTTCTGTATGTTAGGGCACAATATTAATGTTAGTTGTTTTGTTTTGTTCATCAATCCTCATTCAAGGCTCACTTTATCTTGAGGCCACCACCACCTCATTCTCTATCAAACCTGTAGCCTCAAATCAAATCCAACTTTATTTGAAAAGCGTGATTAACAGAAAAATGACTTTTCCGACTTCTTCAGCTTCGGAGTCAGACTTACTTCTTGAGCAGGATCTCAGAGGCCCCCTTGCTGTAGAGGCGGAAGGATCCATCGGGCAGCTGCACCACTGTGCTCATGGACTTGCGCACCGAGTTGAAGGTGTAGACCTTGTAGAGCTTCTCCTCAGGGATCTGTTCCCTCACGGGGGCATAGTCCCTTTTCAGGTCCAGGACGAAGCCAAGTAGGGCACATTCTGTCTTGTTGCCCACCTGCTTGGGTAGGCCTCCCTCCTTATCTGGGGGCTAAGGGATAAAAGATGAAGTTACCATTCCCCCCCCGCTCAATAGATGTGGCTGTAAATAACAGACTGGGCAAAATGAGTCAAAGACAAGAAGGAAAATAAAAGGTAAGGCGATATAATTTGTATGTAAATGTGTATGTAAATATGTAAATTCTGAATTCTATGAATTGTTTTAGCTACTGTATGTCGTGCTGACATGAACAAAATGAGTTTCCATCCAAATGGCCAATAAATATGTAAATGTCCAACTAAACTACACTGGATAAACAGAAAAAATCTAGCTGTGTCCCGTTAGCACTGCAGACATATGTAGGAGCATTCAACAGTGTGCAGGTATCTACAGTATCTGTCTTTCATAATCCACCCTCTCACCATAATCTTTGAGGTGTATGCGCTGTTGACAGCTATGGCGTTTACGAGCGTGTCCAGCACCATAGGATTCATCTGGTCAGGGTGTGGGACCATGTGGAAGTGCTGGTCGCCCGCGTAGGCCTGCACCACGGTCATGCGGTTGGTAGTGAGGGTGCCCGTCTTGTCAGAGCAGATGGCTGTGGCATTGCCCATGGTCTCACAGGCATCCAGGTGGCGCACCAAGTTATTGTCCTTCATCATTTTCTATAGGGAAGGAGGAGGAAACAGACGGAGAGGAATCTTACTGTTAGGCCTACACCTGAGAAACTACAATACAATTCAGCTGCATGCACAATATATAGTGTAATCGTGCCTTGATTTTGCCACATGGAGGATACTCGAGCAAAAATGTGATTTAACATGATTGTCACATAATGTCTGCAGCAACACACACACACACACACACACACACACACACACACACACACACACACACACACACACACACACACACACACACACACACACACAGCTTATTCCCCTCACCTTGACAGAGTAGGCCAGTGATATAGTGACAGCCAGCGGCAGCCCTTCAGGCACAGCCACCACCAGCACTGTGACGCCGATGATGAAGAACTTGACAAAGTACTGCACATAGACGGGGGTACACTCAGTGAGCCACTCCCGGCCCTGAACCACAAAGGTCTCGATCACAAAGTACATCACCAGGATGATCACTGTGATGGCTGACATGACCAGACCTGCGAAAGCGGACAGACAGACACTCAGACACGACCATTTAGACATGGCCCTGTGTAGCTCAGTTGGTAGCTCAGTTGGTAGAGCATGGTGTTTGCAACGCCAGGGTTGTGGGTTCGAGTCCCACGGGGGGCCAGTATGGAAAAAAATTAATGTATGCACTCACTAACTGTAAGTCGCTCTGGATAAGAGTGTCTGCTAAATGACTAAAATGTAAAAAAAAATGGCTCCTTAGTTCAAAGGAAAATGTGAAGAGCTTGTCAGCAGTGTATACCTTGTGTATTCACAGGTCAAGTCAAAGTGAACAAGCAGGCCAGCAGAAAAGAGATGCTGAATGCTTTAGTCAGCCCTCACCTGCCTTCCCGATCTGCACGGCCAGTTTAGTGAGTTTGCCCTGGAGCACAGACTTCTCTTTTTTAGGCACGTTGCCCTTTTTCTTCTCCGCTTCCACCTCCCCTCCTTCAGCGCTCTTCAGGGGCTGCATCTCCATGGCAACAGCCTCATCCTGTTTCTTGGCTAAGGTTGGGGGTTGTCACAAAGTTAGGGAGTGGTTAGGACGGTTAGAGAAAAGACTAAAGGTGTGGTGAGCGTTGCGGCACAAAATGGCTGCCGTGCTTCCCCCAGGTTGGTGCTACAGTATGCAACTGTAACATGGAGTGCTTCCTATAGGATGTAAAGCCCTTTGAGACCTAATAGAAAGCTCTATATACATACAATCCATTATTATAACATTTACAGGTGCAGGTAAGATGTTTTCAACATAAATCAAGAGATTGCTTCCATCTTATTTGAGAAGTAAAAATGTTCTATATAAATATTTGGTATAAATTATTACCTCATACCATCAGTTGTTCGTATAGTTCCCCAAACTATTTATATATGGCAGCCTATTTGAAATGAGGGATGATTAATCTGCCTTGAAATCCCACTGTTTCTTACCTTTGTTCTGATTGTTTTCCAATGTCCCATCTTGCTTACCTGCGATTGAGTGAGAGAGAGATAAATATCTAGACTGATACAGCTGAATGTGACAGACATAATGCTGCATGGGAGGCAAACATTGCTCCCATTTTAACCCCCCGAAAGAAGTAAAAATCGAATGGGAAAATGAATAGACAAAATGAAAGTGACAGAAACATGTGAAGAAATCGCAATGACATATCAACATGTTAAACATACTTTTCAAAATATGTTTACAGTTTGTACTTTTTTTCCAATTACGTTAGGGGCCCACAATTTCCCATGGAAGTCCCATGAAATATCTCTAGCAAATCCCTTCATCAATCTAACTAGTCTAATAGGGGAAACACCTACCATTCGTGATGCTGATCTGTTTTGCTTCGACTGCAGGGGTATTATTGCCCTCTGACGGGATAGTGGTTTGGGATTTGAGATAGGGACAGGGACAATAAGAGATCTTATCAAATTAAGAGACAAAAACAATCAAATCACAAAAAAGGATGAGCAACAGAAACAACAGAAAAAAGGAATGGATCAAAATGAATGAATGAGACCTCAGGAGCAGTAAATAAGTCAACCATTGCATCATATCTTTCTGTGGTCTACATTGTGAAGCTTGGTCCTTACCAGAGGCTTCCCTGTCTGTGTAACCCCATCTCCTTCTTGCTCTCCCTCTTTCCATTCAATTATTGATCGCTCTGCAGACTGCTATGCTTTTACTGGATATAATTATTAAACAGCTAGCTAGCTACCGCTCTCTTCATATCAAGGAGAGGGAGACAGGGAGGAAAGTCTCTGCCCATGTACTGTAAATGTACGCTGTACAGCTCAGAGACGCTCTGCTCTCTCTTTCTCAGCAGAAGTAACTTCAGGTCTTGAATGACTCACAGCTAAACGGAGGATCATTTCAACACACCTATTGAAAATGCCAATGCATGATTTATTTTCTTTTGTATTTATTTATTTGATACTTATACATGTCTGTCTTTGTATATACAGTATAAGAAACAGAGATTGTAAGTCAATCATACGTAAATACATCCATGTACAGTATTTATCCATATTAAGCATCCCTGCTATATGTACTGAGATTCAAATGTAGGCTACTATATTTGCTTTTATACCAATGATACCAACGTCTTAAGGTCTTTACAACTTAAGCTTGTCTTATTATCTTACCTTTCTTGTCTTTCTTCTCCTCCTCCCCCTCCCCCTCTCCAGCCCCCAGTAGAGTGAAGATGATTCCAGTTTGAGAGTTGATCCCCACAGCAGTAACCAGCATCTTTCCAGAGCCTTCCATCACATGAGTTCCTAAGGGGACACAAAGATTACATTCATAAATAGGCATGGAAATAACTCACAGTTATCAACACTATATTAAACAGAGTACCTTTATTTATATGGCACCTCAAACAGAAGAGAAAATGTCCATTAATAATGTTTGCAAAGATATGGTGTTCAAAGATTGTTATTGCAGAAAAATCATGTTTTCAAAAGTGTTTATTTCTATGATGTATACTGAACAAAAATATAAACGCAACATGCAACAATTTCAAAGATTTTACTGAGTTACAGTTCATATGAGGAAATCAGTCAATTGAAATAAATTAATTAGGCCCTAATCTATGGATTTCACATGACTGGGAATACAGATATGCATCTGTTGGTCACAGATACCTTCAAAAAAATGGGCCTCACATTGGGCCTCAGGATCTAGTCACGGTATTTCTGTGCATACCATAAGCCTACCACCACCATGGGGCACTGTTCACAACGTTGACATCAGCAAACCGCTCGCCCACACGACGCCATGGTCTGCGGTTGTGAGACCGGTTAGACGTACAGTGCCTTCAGAAAGTATTCACACTCATTGACTTTTTCCACATTTTGTTGTGTTACAGCCTGAATTTAAAATGGATTAAATTTAGATTTAGTGTCACTGGCCTGCACACAATACCCCATAATGTCAAAGTGGAATGATGTTTTTCAAATGTTTTAATTAATTAAAAATGAAAATCTAAAATGTCTTGAGTCAATAAGTATTCATCCCATTTGTTACGGCAAGCCTAAATAAGTTCAGGAGTAAAAATATGCTTAACAAGTCACATAATAAGTTGCATGGACTCACTCTGTGTGCAATAGTAGTGTTTAACAATATTTTTGAATGACTACCTCATCTCTGTACCCCACACATACAATTATCTGTAAGGTCCCTCAGTCGAGCAGTGAACTTCAAACACAAAGACCAGGGAGGTTTTCCAATGCCTCGCAAAGAAGGGCACCTATTGATGGATGAGTAAAAAAAAAAGAAGCTGATATTGAATATCCCTTTGAGCATGGTGAAGTTATTAATTACACTTTGGATGCTGTATCAATACACAGAGTCACTACAAAAACACAGGCTCAGTGATTTCACTATGAGGCCAATGGTGACTTTAAAACAGTTACAGAGTTTAATGGCTGCGATAGGAGAAAACTGAGGATTGATCAACAACATTATAGTTACTCCACAATACTAACCTAATTGACCGAATGAAAAGAAGGAAGCCTGTACAGAAGAAAATTATTCCAAAACATGCATCCTGTTTGCAACAAGGCACTAAAGTAATACTGCACATATGGCAAAGCCATGACTACAAAGTGTTATGTTGGGGACAAATCCAATACAACACATTACTGAGTACCACTCGCCATATTTTCAAGCTTAGTGGGGGCTGCATCATGTTTTGGGTATGCTTGTAATCGTTAAGGACAGGCAGAATCCTAGAGGAAAACCTGGTTCAGTATGCTTTCCACCAGACACTGGAAGATGAATTCACCTTTCAGCAGGACAATAACCTAAAACACAAGGCCAAATATACACTAGAGTTGCTTACCAAGATGACATTTAATGTTTCTGAGTGGCCTAGTTAAAGTTTGACTTAAATCGTCTTGAAAATCTATGGCAAGACTTGAAAATGTCAGTCTAGCAATGATCAACAACCAACTTGCCAGAGCTTGAAGAATTAAAACAATTATAATGTGCAAATATTGTACAATCCGGGTGTGCAAAGCTCTTAGAGACTTACCCAGAAAGACTCACATCTGTAATCACTACCAAAGGTGAATCTAACATGTATTGACTCAGGGGTGTGAATACTTATGTAAATGAGATGTTTCTGTATTTCATTTTCAATAAATGTGCAAACATTTCTAAAAACATGTTTTCACTTTGTCATTATGGGGTATTGTGTGTAGATGGGTGAGAAAAACAATATATTTAATCCATTTTGAATTCAAGCTGTAACACAACAAAATGTGGAATAAGTCAAGGGGTATGAATAATGTCTGAAGGCACTGTACTGCCAAATTCTCAAAAACAACGTTGGAGGCGGCTTATGGTAGAGAAATTAACATTCAGTTCTCTGGCAACAGCTCTGGTGGACATTCCTGCAGTCAGCATGCCAATTGCACGCTCCCTCAAAACATGAGACATCCGTGGCGTGTTGTGTGACAAAACTGCAAATTTTAGAGTGGCCTTTTTTTTGTCCCTAGCACAAGGGGCACATGTGTAATGATCATGCTGTTTAATCAGCTTCTTGATATGCCACACCTGTCAGGTGGATGGATTATCTTGGCAAAAGAGAAATGCTCACTAACAGGGATGTAAACAAATTTGTGCAAACATTTTGAGAGAAATAAGGTTTTTGTGCATATGGAAAATTCCTGGGATCTTTTATTTCAGCTCATGAAACATGGGACCAACACTTTACATGTTGCGTTTATATTTTTGTTCAGTGTAGATATAGTGGACGGCTAAGTTTACATTACACAATGACGTCATCTTCCCTAAGACCTAAAAGCCAAATCTCATTCCTGGAGTGACTAGCTAGCTTTCTTGCTCTAGAGTTTTGCATGGTTGGCTTGAGTGAGGTGTGCCATTGGGAACGCAGATTCAAATCCAGGGTCAATGCAGAATTACACTCACCAATCTGAAACTACTGTAGTTTGTCTTTTTTAATCACTTTCTAAGGTCACTTTCCTCTGTATTTCCTACTGACCGGTGATCTAATTACTTTTGTACAGCAGAGCTTCATTATGTTCCCATTAATTAAACTACTCTATCACAAGAGACCAGGGATTGTTCAATATCCAGGGAGTGGAATAGCTCTCTGTGAGAAAGAACAATCAGTAATAGTGCAGAATACTGCTAAATATGTTTGATGTTTGTTATTGCTTAAATATGCAATGGCTTGGGACTGTGATTAATATGTGCACTAAACCACAGCATGTAGATGGTCAGACCAAGTAAAGTGAATGTATTTAAACTGGAACTGATCAATTCCCCTGCATTTACAGAGTTTGCATTCATCCAGTGTGCTGTGGCCCAAACATCAAGTGAGGTATGTAAGCGTGACAGGTACATACTGGAAAAAAAACATCAATGATAAGAAAATGGAATTGTGTACAGTGGGGAAAAAAAGTATTTAGTCAGCCACCAATTGTGCAAGTTCTCCCACTTAAAAAGATGAAAGAGGCCTGTAATTTTCATCATAGGTACACGTCAACTATGACAGACAAAATTAGGGAAAAAAATGCAGAAAATCACATTGTAGGATTTTTTATGAATTTATTTGCAAATTATGGTGGAAAATAAGTATTTGGTCAATAACAAAAGTTTCTCAATACTTTGTTATATACCCTTTGTTGGCAATGACACAGGTCAAACGTTTTCTGTAAGTCTTCACAAGGTTTTCACACACTGTTGCTGGTATTTTGGCCCATTCCTCCATGCAGATCTCCTCTAGAGCAGTGATGTTTTGGGGCTGTCGCTGGGCAACACGGACTTTCAACTCCCTCCAAAGATTTTCTATGGGGTTGAGATCTGGAGACTGGCTAGGCCACTCCAGGACCTTGAAATGCTTCTTACGAAGCCACTCCTTCGTTGCCGTGGCGGTGTGTTTGGGATCATTGTCATGCTGAAAGACCCAGCCATATTTCATCTTCAATGCCCTTGCTGATGGAAGGAGGTTTTCACTCAAAATCTCACGATACATGGCCCCATTCATTCTTTCCTTTACAAGGATCAGTCGTCCTGGTCCCTTTGCAGAAAAACAGCCCCAAAGCATGATGTTTCCACCCCCATGCTTCACAGTAGGTATGGTGTTCTTTGGATGCAACTCAGCATTCTTTGTCCTCCAAACACGACGAGTTGAGTTTTTACCAAAAGTTCTATTTTGGTTTCATCTGACCATATGACATTCTCCCAATCCTCTTCTGGATCATCCAAATGCACTCTAGCAAACTTCAGACGGGCCTGGACATGTACTGGCTTAAGCAGGGGGACACGTCTGGCACTGCAGGATTTGAGTCCCTGGCGGCGTAGTGTGTTACTGATGGTAGGCTTTGTTACTTTGGTCCCAGCTCTCTGCAGTTCATTCACTAGGTCCCCCCGTGTGGTTCTGGGATTTTTGCTCACCGTTCTTGTGATCATTTTGACCCCACGGGGTGAGATCTTGCGTGGAGCCCCAGATCGAGGGAGATTATCAGTGGTCTTGTATGTCTTCCATTTCCTAATAATTGCTCCCACAGTTGATTTCTTCAAACCAAGCTGCTTACCTATTGCAGATTCAGTCTTCCCAGCCTGGTGCAGGTCTACAATTTTGTTTCTGGTGTCCTTTGACAGCTCTTTGGTCTTGGCCATAGTGGAGTTTGGAGTGTGACTGTTTGAGGTTGTGGACAGGTGTCTTTTATACTGATAACAAGTTCAAACAGGTGCCATTAATACAGGTAACGATTGGAGGACAGAGGAGCCTCTTAAAGAAGAAGTTACAGGTCTGTGAGAGCCAGAAATCTTGCTTGTTTGTAGGTGACCAAATACTTATTTTCCACCATAATATGCAAATAAATTCATTAAAAATCCTACAATGTGATTTTCTGGAATTTCTTTTCTCAATTTGTCTGTCATAGTTGACGTGTACCTATGATGAAAATTACAGGCCTCTCTCATCTTTTTAAGTGGGAGAACTTGCACAATTGGTGGCTGACTAAATACTTTTTTCCCCCACTGTATATTGCTTGATGAAATAACTGACCAATTGTATCATACATATTTCTAAACCTGCATCTGAATACTTTCAATACTTGTTCTTCTGCGCCATCACAGCAATGTGGATGAGGCAGCTACACCATGATCACAATAGCATGCTCTTCTTTTAGATCTCTGCATAGGCCTAGCCAGTCAGTGGACCTATGGAGTTAGTAGCAGAGTCCAGTTCCGAGTATCATTATTGGGAAAAGGATGAGAGAGGGTGTCCTGTGGGTCTAATGGATCCATGACCCAGTGCTCAGGAAGCTGACCAGAGGCTACAATCCGATTAGCCTTGTCAGGCTCCAGGGAACAGGGAGGATTCACTCTCTTACTGGGAGAGGCAATGAGATTTCTCCTCTCGGCATTGCAGCTAGCATACTGACACATTAGACAGGCCATTCACTCAGGCAGCTCATCAGTCAGAAAAAAAAGTACACGCATAAGAACGCACTTAGAACACACACACACCGCACAGAGGCAAACACCCCTAGCATGGCCTCTGTCTCCCGACTGTAACATGACTACTGTATTATATGCAAACAACTCACCAGACAGCAACATAGGGTCCTTGTCAACAGACTTTTTTACATGGTCAGACTCTCCTGTCAGCGAGCTCTCATCGATCTTCAGGTCGTTTCCCTGTATCAGTATCCCATCAGCAGGCAGGAGATCGCCTGTGTAGGAGCAGGAGCAGGAGGAGACATGGGACCAGAGACTTATAAGGATCTATAAGGAATTATAAAGATCCAAACATAGTTATAACTGCTTAATAAAAGTCTACACAATACCAGATATGTTTAATGTATTATGTGGTTGCTGTTATAAGGACCAAGTGAGTTGTTATGAAAGTTTAATTCTTAATAGACCTTTTGTAAGATAGTAGCAACTACAAATGCATTTTACACAGGTAGCTACGTAGATAGTCTAACAAGGTATAATACATCAGGTGACCTTTCCTGAGCCTGGACTGACCATATTTGATTTGGGCCACGTCCCCAACCACCATTTCGGCCACGGGGATCTGGATGACGGTACCGTTCCGCACCACGGCGAATCGCTGCTCCTGCTCGATGCGGCTCTGCAGCCCCCGGAACTGTTTCTCCTTGCTCCAGTCATTGAAGGCCGTCACCAGCACCACACAGACTACAGACAGCAAGATGGCTGCGCCCTCGATCCAGCCAGCCTCCGCCTCGCCCTCGTCCTCCGCACCGGACGCCACGTTCCCACACGCTGCAGAGAGAGAGGGAGAGAGAGAAATAGAAAGAAAGATGACAGAGAGAGAGAGAAAGAAAGAGACGGCAGAGATAGAGAGAGAAAGAGAGGGGGCAGTAAAATTAGGGAAGATAGAACTCTGCTCATCTGATGAGTTACCTTAACTGATAGAACTGAAAACTTGTGTTTTGTATTTGTTTTTATTACGGATCCCCATTAGTGGCTGCCAAGGCAGCAGCTACTCTTCCTGGGGTCCAATCACAATACAAAATCAATAATACAGCAAAATAACAATATTAAAATGTGTGTGTGTAGAGTGCGTGTTAGCATGTGTTTGCAAATGCTGTGTGTGTGTGTGTGTGTGTGTGTGTGTGTCTCTTCACAGTCCGAGCTGTTCCATAAAGTGTAGTTGTATCTGTTTTTTAAATCTGATTTTACTGATTGACTGAGTTACATGATGTGGAATAGAGTTCCATTTAGTCATGGCTCTATGTAGTACTGTGCATTTCCCGTAGTCTGTTCTGGACTTGGGGACTGTGAAGAGACCTCTCCGGGTGGTGTTAGATCCCAGAGGTAATGCCTAGGCATTAGCTCAGAGGGCTAATGCTTTCTTAAGGCATGCGGAAGGCCCAAGTTCGATACCTGGACAGTCAGTCACACCTACCTTCGCTCTCCTCTCCGGGTGGTTGGTAGAAGGACAGTGCGAGGGAGATGATGGCAGCTATCTCCAGGATGATGAGAGTGACATCCTGTAGGGCCTCCCAGACCAGCTCCAGGAACGACTTGGCCTTCTTAGGAGGGATAAAGTTCTGGCCAAACACCAGGCCACGCTTCTCCAGGTCTGACGGGTTGTCCGATAGGCCTAGAGAGGAGAGGGAATACTGCTACTGAACATGGTGCACGGCATCCCTTCATTTACCTCACTGGATTTAATGTAAAACGCTACTAGAGGGCATTAGAGTCTTGCGTGAATTCAGTAGGTAAGGGGGTAGTTCTGTCAGGATGCCTACATAAGACTAAACATTTGTCAAATTGCAGGTCTCTGCCTTGAGTTTCAGTGCATCATGCTTCACAAAGTCAGTGTGTAACACTTCATGATAGGTTCATATTAGAAACTGGCCTTGTGAAATACTGTTGTCATAAACAGTCATTACATTAATAATAATAATATAATATGCCATTTAGCAGACTCTTTTATCCAAAGCGACTTACAGTCATGTGTGCATACATTTTTACGTATGGGTAGTCCCGGGGATCGAACCCACTACCCTGGCGTTACAAGCGCCATGCTCTACCAATTGAGCTACAGAGGACCACATTACATTGGACGTGGTCATAATACTTGAGATCATGACAGTTTAGGCCATGTTTCTTATAGCCTTGTGTAGGCATTATGACAGAGCATTCAAATAAATTGCTATCACAATGTCTACATTAGAGCAGACAGAACACAGCCTAAGGCATCATACAATTATTTATGTAAATGTACATTTCAATAGACTCACTCGCTCACATGAATCCTATGATAGACATATAAATGTTTGAGTGCTGGGTGCTCTCTTGGTGAAGTGAGATAGATGGGGTGGGAACAGCACAGATGGCTAAGTCAGTGTGTCTGCTTCTCTGTGGGGTGTGTGCTCTGGCAAGCACACTCCTCATGTCCTCCCCTGCCAAACGTCACCTGCTGCTACTGGCAACCCAGTCATCACTCTCTCTGTATCTCTTTCTCTCCCTCTCTCTTTATCTGTTTCTTTTTCACACAATCCCATTTCGTGGTGTAGTCAAAATGTAGTCGCACTATAACCAGAGCTAGGCCTGCACTGCACACAGCACTCCATTTGACCTTGACCAAGTTCAGAAATTGTGTGAAACAGTCTGATGATAAAAAGACACGTGAGTAGGAACATCTCAGGTTGAGGAGATATGCACATTTTAATTCATCTGAAAGGAACCTATTTGTGAAAATACACCTTTTACTAATTCAGACAATATTCTTACCGTTTCTATGGTAATGAAAGGTTCATGAACAAATCCTCTTGATCTCCCTAACAAGATGGTGCCGACAGACACGATCGCTCTGTTTCTAGCTCCTATCCAACTTTGCAGTATTCACTATAGTTTTTTGTGTGTAATTTCTTATATTATTTGCTCAGAACGTTTATTTTATTATTACCTACACCTGGAAATAACTTTTGGATATTAGATGTACACTACCTTTCAAAAGTTTGGGGTCACTTAGAAATGTCCTTGATTTCTAAAGAAATGTCCATTAAAATAACATCAAATTGATTAGAAATACAGTGTAGACATTGTTAATGTTGTAAATGGCTATTGTAGCTGGAAACTACATAGGCGTAAAGAGGCCCATTATCAGCAACCATCAGTCCTGTGTTCCAATGGCACGTTGTGTTTGCTAAATCAAATGTATCATTTTAAAAGGCTAATTGATCATTAGAAAACCCTTTTGTAATTATGTTAGCACAGCTGAAAACTGTTGTGCTGATTAAAGAAGCAATAAAACTGGCTTTCTTGAGACTAGTTGAGTATGTGGAGCATCGGCAATTGTGGGTTTGTTTACAGGATCAAAATGGCCAGAAACAAATAACTTTTTTCTGAAACTCGTCAGTCTATTCTTGTTCTGAGAAATGAAGGCTATACCATGCAAGAAATTGCCAAGAAACTGAAGATCTCGTACAACGCTGTGTACTACTCCCTTCACAGAACAGCGCAAACTGGCTCTAACCAGAATAGAAAGAGGAGTGGGAGGCCCCGGTGCACAACTGAGCAAGAGGACAAATACATTAGAGTGTCTAGTTTGAGAAACAGACGCCTCACAGGTCCTCAACTGGCAGCTTCATTAAATAGTACCCGCAAAACACCAGTCTCAACGTCAACAGTGAAGAGGCGACTCCGGGATGCTGACCTAGACAGGGTTGCAAAGAATGTGTCCCTGGTTCGCAAGGTACTGGTCCGACTGCTGGAAAAGTATCTTTATGCCTAAGGCAGAGAAGTGTGAGTATTTCCAGCAGTCAGTCTCCTTCCTTGGATATCGCATTACCACCACAGGTGTGGAGATGGAGGGAGACCGCATTGCAGCCGTGCGTAATTGGCCGACTCCAACCACAGTTAAGGAGGTGCAGCGCTTCCTTGGCTTTGCCAACTACTATCGAAGGTTTATTCGGGGCTTTGGCAAGGTCGCAGCTCCCATTATCTCCTTGTTGAAGGGTGGGCTGTCCCGGCTCCGCTGGTCTGCTGAGGCTGATTTGGCCTTCAGTAGATTGCAGGGTTTGTTCACCTCAACCCCGGTACTGGCTCACCCCGATCCATCACTACCGTTCGTAGTGGAGGTGGATGCGTCCGAGGTAGGGATAGGAGCTGTCTTATCCCAACGCTCGGGCACGCCACCCAAGCTCCGCCCCTGTGCCTTCTTCTCTAAGAAGCTCAGCTTGGCGGAGCAGAACTACGGCGTTGGTGATCGGGAGCTGCTGGCTGTTGTCCGAGCTTTGACGGTGTGGAGACATTGCCTCGAAGGGGCGAAACACCCTTTCCTCGTCTGGACAGACCACGAGTACATTCGGGCAGCAAGGAGGCTGAATCCTCGCCAGGCCAGGTGGGCCCTCTTCTTTACCCGGTTTGATTTCACACTCTCATACATTCCGGGTACGAAGGACGTGAAGGCAGACGCACTGTCTCGGCTGTATGACACAGAGGAGAGGCCCAGAGACAACACCCCCATACTCCCGGCCTCATCTATTGTGGCGCCGGTAGTATGGGCGATGGACGCAGATATAGCACAGGCATTACGCACAGATTCATCTCCACCGCAGTGTCCAGCTGGGCTGCAGTATGTGCCTGTGCTTATCCGTGATCGTCTGATCTACTGGGCACACACGTCACCCTCCTCTGGTATCGGTCGTACAATGCGTTGCCTGACCGAGAAGTACTGGTGGCCTACCTTGGCTAAGGACGTGAGGGTGTATCTTTCCTCATGCTCAGTGTGCGCCCAGAGTAAGGCACCTAGGCACCTCCCAGCGGGTAAGCTACAACCTTTACCAGTTCCACAACGACCATGGTCTCATCTGAGTATTGATTTTCTCACTGATCTTCCCCTCTCCCAAGGTAACACCACTATCCTGCCGCCTCCTTCCTCTTCCCGGTCTCCCCACGGCCCTACAAACTGCGGAGGCTCTGTTTACTCACGTCTTCCGGCACTACGGGGTACCAGAGGATATAGTGTCCGACCGAGGTCCCCAGTTCACGTCTAGAGTCTGGAAGGCGTTCATGGAACGTCTGAGGGTCTTGGTCAGCCTGACCTCTGGATTTCACCCCGAGAGTAATGGGCAGGTGGAAAGGGTGAATCAAGATGTGGGTAGGTTCCTGCGGACCTACTGTCAGGACCGGCCGGGGGAGTGGTCGGTGTTCCTGCCACGGGCAGAATATGCTCAGAACTCTCTCCGCCACTCCTCCACTAACCTAACAGCCTTCCAATGTGTTTTGGGTTACCAACCGGTCCTGGCACCATGGCACCAGAGCCAGACCGAGGCTCCTGCGGTGGATGACTGGTTTCGGCATGCAGAGGAGACTTGGGACGCTGCCCACATTCGCCTCCAGCGCGCCGTGCGTCGTCAGAAGGCCAACGCTAACCGCCACCGCAGGGAGGCCCCGGTGTAAGTACCGGGGGATCGGATCTGGCTCCCGACCCGGAATCTGCCCCTCCGCCTGCCCTGCCGGAAGCTGAGCCCGCGGTTTGTGGGGCCGTTTAAAGTCCTGAGGAGAATAAACGAGGTGACATTACTGTATTAACCCCTCGTTTCATGTGTCTCTCCTCAGGCCGGTGGTAGCTGGTCCGCTCCAGGAATCTGAGGTACGGGAGGTTACTCCACCTCCTCTGGACATTGAGGGGGCCCTGGCGTACTCGGTCCGATTCGAGGCGTCGGGTGGGGGGTCTTCAGTATCTCGTGGAGTGGGAGGTGTACGGTCCGGAGGAACGGTGCTGGGTCCCAAGGCGGGACATCCTCGATCTCTCCCTGTTGAGGGATTTCCATCCCTGAGGCCGGGGTCGGCGCACTGCTGGAGCCGCGCGTCCGTCGGGGGGGGGGGGGGGGGGGGGGGGGGGGCGTTCGGCGTTCGTTGTCACCGGAGTACTAGCTACTGCCGATCCCATTCTCATCACCCCACTTGTCATGTCTTGTCAATCACACACACCTGGTGCTCATTCCCCTAATTAGTATGTGTATAAGTGTTCCCTCTGTTCCCCTTGTCTTTGTGAGTGATTGTTTGTTGTGAGAGCGTGTAGCTTGGTTGAGCTACTATTCACTGTGTTTATGCTAAGGTGGATGTTTTCCCTTGTAATAGTTTAGTTTGACGCTTGGGGCGTTTGATTTATGTAAACAGAATACTCTGGACTTCGGTATCTTACCTCCTGCGCCTGACTCCTTCATTCACACCTCGTCACAGGTAGTGTATATATATTTATAGTCCGGTAACTGACATTGCTCGTTCTGATATTTCTTAATTTCTAAATCTTTCTGGATTATGTGTGTATTGTTTTTTTTATTGCTAGGTATTGCTGCACTGTTGGAGCTACTAAGCATTTCACTGCACCTGCGATTACATCAGAAAATCTGTGTACGTGACAAATAAAATTTGATTTGATTATTGAAACAGCATACATGTATTTTTACTGAATTATAAAAAATAATTTTGTAATCATTATAAAAGTTTGCAGATATTAGAGGTGTGTTGAATTGTAAAAACAGGAATATTGAAAATTGTTCTTAAAAATGCAAATACAAATGAGACTCCTTTGCTCTTTACTTATTAATTTCCACTGATTCAAATTGAAACTGAAATCGACATTAATCGGAAAGTTCCCATTCCATACTCAACAGCATAAGCAAAAATCCCTGTTTAAGATGATATGGTGAAAAACAGTAAGGCACTTGTATAATTGAAGGTCATCTGATTTTTTTTTTTTTATTACATAATTTGAAACTATAATGTTGAACATAAAGCAATTATGCTGAAAACATGAAATGCTCTTATAGGTTTGAGCATCTCTCCTCAGGCCGATTTGATGTTTGCTGCAGGATGAATGAGAGGAGGTGTCTGTCTCTGCCTCACACCCACCAGATTGCTGATTCTTTTGTAGCTTAGCAACGACATGAAAGCATGTTCTGGCAGACTGGGTTGGGAATACAAAAATACAGATAGAAAACCAGGCGGATGAGGACAGTACAAATGATGACATTGAGTAAAGTAGAAACTGTCTATGCAAATGCGATGGCAGTGGCGCTATGGCATACAATATCATCAACTGGTTCTTCATAAAAAAAATCCAGTTGATTTGACCTATTGGTTTCAATTTGATTGGTAAGGTAGACTAATAAGGTGCATATTGTGTTACAAGTGAAGTATGTCACTCTGAGAGTGGTGTGTCTGAGTGAGACTCTCACCATCGGCTGGGGATGTCTTCAGTCTCTGACAGAGGCCCTCTGTGTCCGTGTAGTTCTCCTGAATCTTCTGAATGGCTTCTGCACCCCTCAGCTCCATAAGGTCCCGCAGGTCCTCCAGGGTAGCCCCGAAGTCCCCTGCATGGTTGACCTCCATTCCCCCTCCACTACCTCGCTTCTTGGGTTTGAACTCCACCGAGCTATTGGCTAAGTCCCCCATGATAATGTGTGGTTATAGAAGTGTATTGATTCTTCAAAAAACAATGATTCACTGATGGACTTCTTTAGTGCCTGAGCCAGGGTAGGATGTGGGGTATGCTTGACTATGTGATTTTTAGATTAATGTTCCCCCATGCCACTCCCTCCTCTGCCCCTTCTATGATTCTCCATATCAAGGCATGTGTGGAAGAACATATGGAAATGTTTTTGTCGTGTGATTTGACGGTGGTTTATTCCACCAGAGACCTTAATCTGGTGTCTCACAACCACAGAAGAGAAAAGGGCATCAAGCTAAATGATAGGGGGATACCAATCCATAGAGACAGATATTTGTAAGGAGAGAAATAAAAAGAAGAGCTCAAGCGTTTGGGGGTAAAGAGTAAGATGCTTCAGAAGGTGGAGTGTTGGATTTACCTAGAGGCTGGAGAAGATGGAGAAAAGGGGTTTTGTAGAGAATATTCTTTCATCATTCAAATTGTGAACATTTGCCAACAGAGAAAAAAAATGATTAGTCCCCTTAAAAGACTATAAACCCATGTCTCAAAATAACTCTCAGATGTAAGGAATTCAGGGTCTTGGCAGGATGTCACTATGCCATGAAAATATGATCTATCATTTGCACCAAAGAGAATTCCTAATGAGCCAATAGGAGTTGCTTGAATCCCACCCCGCTTCACTGGGAGAAGAAACAAACAAAACAAAAAAACAGACACCATAACTTATTTATAAGAGGTCTATTGATTTGGAGTTTATTGATTTAGGAGGTTAAGGCCTCTCTGGCTTGAAACAGCTTAACAGTGGGTTGGCTCTCTGATCAGGGGGACATACATAACCATCCTGAATGCTCATACTAAAAATAGGAGGAGAAAGGCATTGGGATGAAAACCCATGCAAATATACAATATCTTTATAAGACTGATACTGTTATGTATCTATGAGTCAAAGTCACATCGTTGAATTGTGACTTGAAATTGTAATCGTTACAAAGAAATCTTTACATTTCCTTATGATTTTATACTTTATATTCAATGTTTTAAAGGCCTACGCAAATAATCAGATGGTGTGCATGGGATTTGCTTAATATTTTGGCCCTAATGAATTTGACAAGCTTTTAGCCTACTAATGCTACACTATTCTAAACTTTGTATAATTAATTAGCTTTGCATAATATTCTCCTTTCGTCATCATCTTCAAACAGTGAATTGTACTCCCTCGATGCTATTCCACCCATACATGACAAATTAGGCCTACTATATGCGCCCAGGAATCATCAAAATCTCAAGAACATTTTTTAAGGTTAAACACAAACAGTAAACACATTTCCAGAATATATTTGTTCTCACAGTACCGCCTTCTGAACGAGCGTCGTCACGCTCGTATGGAAATAGCCAATCCATGTCTAGAATGGGTTTCACGAAGGCGACGCGCACAGCCATGATGCTCAGCGATCTGGGATACAGAGGATACTCTCTTCCGAGTGATGCGCGGGTAAAAACACCTCCATCGTGGCACGAAGCATTATACTAAGATTTTCTTATATTTCCACAGTATCAAAGAGCGAATGGAAGCATTGTTTTTATATATCATATTTTTTAAATGCATCCCTTTCCCTTGCAACACGGAGCATGTGTTATTCTAGTACATTATCAAAATCCACCGTGCCCTTTACTTGTAACCTTCAGAGATATCAGTTGTTAACCTTGGTCTGCACAAAAATCTATTTTGTCAGCGATATCCTTCCATTACGATAGAAATGCACACCAAAGCATGGAATTATACACCTTTTCTTAAATTCATATTTTATTTTTAATTTCTAGAGGTGGAAGTGGGTATGATGGGCCTAACATGAATAAGAACACATTTTCGAGGCAACAGATTTCAGAGGAATTGCAGCACATAGAAAAATACGATTGGAACATATTGCGTTTCTTGATAGTGGGAAAACGATAACATTCTGGCCGCGTGAATGTGCTACATTTAATCTGTGAGCTGGTTTAGGCTACTGCAAGGTTATCACCGGATAGACACCGGCTATGGTTTCTTTGCAGAATAACTCTTCTCTGTGGATTCAGACATAAATCATAGAAGTGACCGGTAGGCCTATACCCTATTCCCAGAATACGCCACATTTTAGATATTCCAGATGCCAGTGCTGCCCTACTAATGAATCATAATCTATTCCTGTTGCCCACAACATTAATGTAGCCTACCTAGATCATTTATAGCATTTCATATTGATAAAGGTAATGTAGCCACTGTATGTTCAGTGTTGGATGCATGAGTAGGCTATATTTTATCTCATGGATTGTCAGTATTATATAGCCTACCAGTCCCATAATATATCAATAGCCTTCTAGCGAGAAAGGTATAATAATAATAATAATAATGATAAAATAAATAAATGGTGCACATCATCGCCATTTTCACAGATCATTCAAATATCACGAGGCATTTTGAGGCAATATTATCCTTAGCCTATCATAATAATACAAAAAACACCATTGAACGGAGTTAAAATACTCACCCGGCCATGTCCAAGGACGTCAACGGGGAGTTTAGAAAAACAGAAAATCCAATGTTCTTCACTTTCAAATTCACTTCAAATCCGACAGAGAAAAAACGTTTGAAGGATGTATACCGACGTGATGTCCCATCTGTTGTTTCTGGTCAGCAGATAAAAATGTAGAGCACAGAATTGTGCAGACGTCTAGGCCTATGTGAAATTCCTCTAATGCTGAAGAAAATTAAATGATGAGGGTAGATATTAGCGTGTTTGCATAAATGAATGGTTATGGACTGCAGGTAGCTATTTGATATTATTAGGCCTACTGTTCTTGTCGTTGTTCCCAATGTTTCTCGTTGCTGTTATTTTTTTTGTCTGATAATACAGCATAAGCTCCAATAGGTGAGCAAGAATTTGGGTCTACATGCTGAAAAGATACCTCGCTTACCGGACTCATCCTACGGTGATGGCAACATTAAAATGGGCTGTTCTATGCGATGGGTAGGAGGGGGAGGGGTGGATGGATGCTGCCACTGCCGAGTTTGATGCTCGTAGCTATCCCTCCTTGCAACCCCTCCCGTTGCTCACCCTGACTGTACAATTAGACAATAATATTGGTACTATATCCCTAGATAGACTGTCTGAGCCTTATTCTAAAATTGCTTAAATTGTTTTTTCCCTCATCAATCTACACACAATACCCCATAAAAACAAAGCAAAAACAGTTTTTTTAAAAAAATTTTTTGCAAATGTATTAAAAATAATAAACGGAAATATTACATTTACATAAGTATTCAGACCCATTACTCAGTAATTTGTTGAAGCACCTTTGGCAGCGATTACAGCCTCGAGTCTTCCTGGGTATAATGCTACAAGCTTGGCACACCTGTATTTGGGGAGTTTCTCCCATTCCTCTCTGCAGATCCTCTCAAGCTCTTTCAGGTTGGATGGGGAGCATTGCTGCACAGCTATGTTCAGGTCTCTCCAGAGATGTTTGATCGGGTTCAAGTCCAGGCTCTGGCTGGGCCATTCAAGGACATTCAGAGACTCGTCCCGAAGCCACTCCTGCGTTGTCTTGGCTGTGTGCTTAGGGTCGTTGTCCTGTTGGAAGGTGAACCTTCGCCCCAGTCTGATGTCCTGAGCGCTCTGGAGCAGGTTTTCATCAAGGATCTATCTGTACTTTGCTCCGTATTTTTTTATTCAACCTTTATTTAACTAGGCAAGTCAGTTAAGAACAAATTCTTATTTACAATGATGGCCTACCAAAAGGCAAAAGGCCTCCTGCGGGGACTGGGGCTGGGATTTAAAATAAAATGAAAATATAGGACAAAACACACATCACGACAAGAGAGACACCACAACACTACATAAAGAGAGACCTAAGACAATAACATAGCATGGCAGCAACACATGACAACACAGCATAGTAGCAACACAACATGACAACAACATGGTAGCAACGCAACATGGCAGCAGCACAACATGGTAGGAGCACAAAACATGGTATAAACATTATTGGGCACAGACAACAGCACAAAGGGCAAGAAGGTAGAGCCAACAATACATCACACGAAGCAGCCACAACTGTCTGTAAGAGTGTCCATGATTGAGTCTTTGAATGAAGAGATTGAGATAAAACTGTCCAGTTTGAGTGTTTTTTGCAGCTCGTTCCAGTCTCTAGCTGCAGCAAACTGAAAACAGGAGCGACCCTGGGATGTGTGTGCTTTGGGGACCTTTAACAGAATGTGACTGGCAGAATGGGTGTTGTATGTGGAGGATGAGGGCTGCAGTAGGTATCTCAGATAAGGGGGAGTGAGGCCTAATAGGGTTTTATAAATAAGCATCAACCAGTGGGTCTTGCGACGGGTATACAGAGATGACCAGTTTACAGAGGAGTATAGAGTGCAGTGATGTGTCCTATAAGGAGCATTGGTGGCAAATCTGATGGCCGAATGGTAAAGAACAATTTGCCTCGATCCTGACTAGTCTCCCAGTCTCTGCCCCTGAAAAACATCCCCACAGCATGATGCTGCCACAACCATGCTTCACCATAGGGATGGTGCCAGGTTTCCTCCAGACGTGACGCCTTGCATTCAGGCCAAAGTGTTAAATCTAACCCAGTCAAATTGGAGCACAACTCATGAGCCCACCTCCTGCACTGCTCACACCTAATCCAGTCCCCACCTGTGACTGAAAAAAAGGGGAGAGATGCCAATTGAAAAGCTCTCTCTTAAAAACGTAGCTAGCTATCTAGGTATATGACATAAAATGCTGTGTAAAATAGCTAAAAGGCTATAAAGAAACATGAACTGTAAAGCTACCAGTCACTAGCGGAAACATTTACAACTGCAATTAAGTTACGTTATCTTTTTATTGTATTTTACCTCAGACGATCTGGTAGTAAGGTTGCTCGCTAGCACTCCTAGTAGCTTATGCTAATTAGTTAGCTGGCTAGCATTTACTGCTAGTGAAGTTCCTAGCTAGCAAGTTAGCATAAA